CTGAAGTCACCCAAAGAAAGCACATTGCATGCTTACTGGAAAGCAGATGTCACCATTGTGAAAGTACAACTCTGGAATGTGGTTATTTTGTTTAAATAACACCCCAGTTGTGTGATCTTGGGGAAAGTTAGTCACACAAATTTAACCTTGGTGCCTTGGTTTCCTCATCTGTGAAATAATAATACTACCTACTTTACAGGATTTCTATAAGGATGGTATGAATATATGTAAAGGAATTAGTGTGGTACCTGACTTACATTAAGTGCTATGTTAGCAACTACTAAAAAATAAAGTTCTGTTTACATTAAAAAATAGCTGTTACACACAGGTCATTTTTAAAAGGCCATTTTTTTGTTGTTGTTTATTTTGTTTGTCATTTCTGGAGTTTGTTGTTTAGAACTCTGAATCCATACACATGAAATACAATACTGCTTGGGTCTGTCATGATCCACTGGAAACTAACAGTGTGATTCAACTTCAGCTTTCCATTATTTCTATGGAATAACATTTTTAAAATTTACACTTCTAACTACATTCTCAGGTATTTTAGAGCAGAAATGGTTCTTTTCCCTTCCAGACACAACAACAGACTTATGAAGAAACATTTGATTTTTTTATGTATATTTTTTACATAATACCTTTGGACATAATACCTTTTATTTTATTTATTTATTTATATGTGGTGCTGAGGATCAAACCCAGAGCCTCACACATGCCAGACGAGAGCTCTACCACTCAGCCACAACCCCAGTGCCCCCACTCCCCCCGAACATTTGGATATATCAAAAATTTTTAGCAGTGGGAAGAGTATCTTAGGGTGGGAGATCATAGGCTTTGCATTTCTTGCTAATGGCCAAGGATTGATAATCAAAAGGCTGCAGAATTTCCTAGCAGAGGAAAAAGATGTGTGCTTGGAACGCATTGATAGAGTATTAACCTCATCTGGTCCTTCGTAACTGACAAATTCTCATCTTTGAATACTGCATTTAAAAATCAAAATTACCTTAACATGCCTTATTCCCAATTTTTCAACTAAACTTAGAAATTTCAATGTTTCTAGTAACAGATATTAAAATGAGACTATAACCCATGCTCATTTTCACTGATCAAGACTGTACAACTCATACGCAACAGATGTTAAAGGAAATTTCTAGTGGGAGCAGGGAAGAAAAAGGAGAAATTACCATTGATAGAAAAGTTACTTCATAGGTCTCTTATTAAGTCGAGGACTGCTGGTACTTCCAAAATAATCTAAATCTTATATAAATTAAACAGAACATTTTATAAAAGTGTTATTTGCCCACAATTTTCTATTCAAGTTAGATTAAGCTTACATAATTCACTTTATGTATGATTCTCTGCAATTTCAGTGAGTAAACTGTTTATCTACACTAAATGTATTGAAGCCAAATAACTATTCATATTAGGTCAGAGTATAAAGTGAAATGAAGTTTGTGACACAAATGCTAGAACCAAATTTATTTGGCTTATCAATCATCCTTGATATATTGGGTTCTTCAATTAAAACAAAAACACCTATACTAATTTATAAAGTATACCAATCAACAAAACAGTGTTTCACTGACACACACACTGAATTTTACAACACAACACTTATTTGTCAATATGTATTTAAGCCTTATTTAAACTCTCTGCCAATTCAAAGCATGTTTCTAAAGTATAAAAAAAGAAACATTAAATCTTCTGGCTGTCCAAGTTGATTCACTGAAGAAATTAATGTAGAGTTCAAATAGTTCAAGTTACAATGTAAAAACAAGTAAAATTACATGCCTTCAGTTAACTGAAGAAATCAAAATTTATCTTACCTTAAAAACAAATACAAGGTGAAAAAGGAGGGGGATAATAAAGAATGCAGAATGAAGATAAAGCTACAAAGAAAGATGAGCCACTGGAAATAAGATGGCCTGGGGACACTGCTTTACCATCTTAAGTAATACCAAGTCTAATTTTGACCTAGCCACAATTCAAATGCCCATAGGATTGACAGAAGAGTACTGTTTGTCCAATATTAAAAATTCTGTCACATCACCTGTAAAAAAGTAAAATGCTTCCTTTAATTTTCTCTTTTACGTTTCTTGTCACTTTAATACTTATAAACCCTACCTTAATGTAACTAAACCCATACATACAATTAAAACCTTACAAGGACTTAAAATGACTAATATTGTATGTAATTTCCACTGACAAAAACTACCAAATGTCTATGAAAGGTGAGATAAGGAGGAAAAGCCCATGGCTCTCTCTAAATGCTTATTATGCAGTTAAAAAAAAAAAGCATTAATGACACAAGTTAGCTGGAGTACCAATGAAATATGATTTTTTGGTCAGCAATATTACCCTCAACTGCAACACAGTATTAATCAGTTGCTTAAAAAAAAAAAAATCCAGGTTGGGGTTGTAGCTCAGTGGTAGAACTCTTGCCTAGCGTATGTGAGGCACAGAGTTGGCTCCTCAGCACTACATTAAAAAAGTACTGTGTCCAGCTACAACTAAAAAAGGAGGTAAGATGGCCTGGGGACACTGCCTCACCTAAAAAAAAATTTTTAAAAAAAAAATCCAAGACCAGGGGTACAGATCATTGGTAGAGTGTATGACTATCATCATGCAGGAGGCCCTGGGTTCAAGCTCTGGTGCCAAAAATAAATAAATAATGAAACTGTCAAAAGAAATACTACATCATTAGCCTGTGGACAAGGGTACATAAAAAGTAGTAAAAATTTGTATTTCTCACTAAAAATGCACACTTCCATACTATTTTACATATAACCCCAAACTACTATAGTTTCAATCTAGGTTTCTACATTTTAAGTTCTTGGGTTGTTTGTCTCCCTAATTTTTTTTTTAATTCCTCTTTCTAAATTTAAACACACTATCCAAATCTTCCTGGGCCAGGACTAGAACACTGTATCAGTGATCATAACACTGGGAATTAAGCTTAAGAGTTTAAAATGAACAAGGTATAGAATCACATTTTGTATTAACTTTGTATCCTTTGGTACACAACCCTAAACATACCAGGGACTATAAACATTTACTAACTCAAAATCGTCCTTCACCACTTGAGTTAATAGTTTGTGCTGAAACAAACCTGAACAGCTTCACAAAATCTGAAGGACCTAAAAGTTACTGATGAAACTTTACGAACACATTACTGTTTTATCATTTAAAGATTTTTAAAGCTTGCCTCCATTACTACTGTACCCTTTCTTCCCCAACACTAGAATAGTGGCTTGGAGCAGATCCTGTCAAAAGTGGACATCAGAATCTCTTAAAGGCGTTTTAAATTTTACACATTTATACTTCGTTGTTATATAAGTTTAATGCTCTAAAGTCAGCTAATTTTATTAGCTACTTAAGAGAGGTTTGCAGTCAATTAATTCCCAGAAACATAAATGAAAACTGGTTCCAATAAATAACAAGCAAAGAAACAGAAAAACTGCCTTAAATTCTGGCAACAAACAAGGACAGTTTGCATCAATGTAATATAAAAAAAAAAAAGCTACTGGTCTATGGGATAATTTTTTCAAAGTTTTTTAAATAAGTCTTTTATTTAAAAGTCAAAGCATATTGGTAGACTATTACCAAAATCACAAATTATCATGTACAGATTCACAAAAATACCTGGCAAGGAAAATCTGCAACAGGTTCCATAACGTCAAATGTTTTCTGGTTGCTAATATACTGCATTATGCACCTGAGACATTATCACATATGTGTGACAATCCGTAAAAGGCAAGAGAGGCCCAGAAGTCTCAGTGAGCCAGTGTCAACAAACTCAAACTATGACAAAAATACCCTCTGCCTTAGGGTTAACTACCAACTTTCTGGCCTGAGATTAACTTGCTTTAAGAAAGTTTAAAATGGTGCCTATATGGAGAGGAAAGCTTGTAGCATGAAAAGAAAAAAATCAAATGGAAAAGCACTCTTAAAAGTTAAGTTCTACTTCCAATAAACCGTGTCTCGGAAATCTTCCAGGCGATGAAGACACGGAAGAACAGATGGATCTAGACGCGATCGCATTCTCTGAGGCGTGCGCACTGCGCGGAAAGGATGAATGAATGGAAGACAGGCGCGTGTGAAATGCAGCAGGTCCGGCCGGCAAGCCGACCGGCGGCAGCGCTCAGTGGCAGCGATCAGTAGGCCTCGCTCCTCCCCCTTCCCTCCTCCATGACAGCCCAGTCCCAAGCATGGAGGGGCGAGGACAATGTGATCCCCCTTCTCACCACCACCACCACCCTCATTCTACTCGAGAGAGCTTAACCACGCGACACTGGGGTTTCCTCCCCATCCCAAACCTTTTTCGCCTCCCCAGCCGCCAACCCCGGCAACTCTCTGATGCGCTGGAGTAACATGCGCTCGACCCTCTCGTCTCCCCTCGGCGAGATCGAAGCTTCTCCGCGCGTGCCGCGGCTCCACTCCCGCCTATCCCACCCTCTCGCGCCGCGCGCCCACCGGCTTCCCAGCCCACCGGTCTAAAGAAGACCCTCGCGCGCCCGGCACCCGAGCCCCTGGACTGGCGCGCTGGAAGGAGGGAGGGAGATGGAAAAGCTGCCCCAAGGATCCCTCCTCCATCTCATTCCAGATCGGCTCGCCGCCCACCCTCCTTGCGGATCACAGTGCCCGCTCCGAGCCGGCCCCGCGCCCTTCTATCACGAAGACAATCCCACACACCTAGCCCCGAGCCTCCGTCATCCTACACCCCGGTGGACAACGCGCGGCTCCGCAGGAGGCGCCACGCCGCCCCTCCCCCACCAGCTCCCCCAGTTCTCGGGCCCCCACCAGAACGTGTGCGCTACACGCCGCCTCGGTCAGCCTCCAGGGCACCCCCAGTTGCCCGCGGAAGGTCAGGCCCAAGAAGAGGGGGAGGGGGCGGCAAGGGATAGCGTGCGCGCCGGGAACGCAGTCCCGCGGGGTCCTTCAGTCCGGAGGGAGACCGAGCGCGGGGACCCGTGGGGGTGGGGGCCAAAGGCAATACTCACCGGTTCCACAGTCGCCATCTTAGATCGATCTGATCGCACAACCGCTCCTGAAGGGGGGGTGAGAGGAAAAAAATGAGATTCAAACCGGATTGGCCAGTTACTGTCCACGTGACGGACGTGTCCGTTTGGCCCTGGCGGCGCCTGCGCAAGACTGCGGCTGCGTGTGTAACAAGAGGCTTCTGGGAAGTGGAGTCTCTGTCTCTCTCTCTCTCTCTCTCTCTCGCTCGCTCGCTTTTTTTTTTTTAGGCAGACTTTTTTTTTTTTTTAAAAAGGGACTGATCACGTGGTCGTTCAGCGGGTTCGGCACTCGCGTGCTGTGGAGTGATTTTCAGTCCTCTGCTCTTCCGCCTGGATAGTTGCCTTCGTACTTACTGCTTGGCATGCCTAATGTACCCTTTGTCGCCCCATCCTCCCATCTTCCCCAGGAGGTTGGGAACTGCAGGCTCAGCACACACAATTAGGCTTCATTTGCTTAGTTGAGGTCCTAGGACAAGTTGCTTGTGCGTTTATTTAGTTTTCTTTTGACCTCCCACCATTTTCTCTTTAGTTTCAAAAAGAGGCGGCGATGGAGAGTCGTTTAAGCAATCATCCGTCCCCCGGCTCCGCTAGCGCTGGTGACCACTTGTTGCCATCACTGCGAAAAGGGATCGGCGGAACCGCCCGCAGTGTCCACTCGCCGCTGCTGGGGGGAGGGGGGGTGCACCCGACAGTTTTTTCTGTTCCAAATCCTGAGATTAAGATCTCAGGGATAAATCTTCTGGAAGTAAAGATTATTTGGAAGTTCTGTCCAGCCGGTTCCAATATTCTGATTTAACGTGAACAGAAATAGCCTAAGTCCAGGTGCCAGCCAGGGAAGCCACTCTGGGCTCCGCTGACTAAGCCCTGGACTGACTGTCAGGAGTCGTTAAGCCGGGTCAACTATGACTCTTGACGTTGACTCATTCTCCTTAGGGAGTGACTTAATCATTCTGTACTTCTTTTCATTTATGAACCGAAGGTGATAATACACTTACCTCACAAGGGTATGCTGTGGTAATGACTGTAACCAGCTTTGAAAATGCATCGGACTCTGTAAATACTTCATAATAAGCAACCAACTGCCTTCCTAAAGATCAGCTGCTTTTCTCTGCTATTGTTTTTTTAAACAATGTTTTTTTGTTGTTGTTTACTTTGTTACATTATGATGTGCAGTAGTGCAATTTTTAAAGTTTCAAGTTCATTTTTTCTCTTTACGACTGTAGCTAACTTCAGTAGGTGCTTTAATATTCAGGAAATTCACAAGAATCACTGGCAATTAAAAGTCTGTCCCTGGTCTGGCATGCTACATTTTCCTTCCTTCTAAGATACAGTGCTGTCATTTCTCAAGGCAGCGTTATTCTGAAGTCTGATTATTAATACAACAAAGGTGAAGAAATCTAGTAGACTACTACTATAAGGTTCGAATGAGGAAGACACGACCTCATTGCTGTCTCCCACGCTTCTTAAGAATGTTAACACCAGGAAAAGAAGTATAAACAGGCTGCCTGTGTCTGACTCCTTATGGTGCTGCTGATGTCCAGAGCTGTGTCATACCTATTATTGAGTACATAATGGGTGCTTGGGATGACTAACACATAATTGAGGCTATATAAGAACTCGAAGTCATGGCCAGCTCATATGTTTTAGTTTACCTGGTTGGCATAGGTGATTAATGAAAGCTGTTGTCTAGGCATCTTAGCTCCAGTAGGTTCTAAAGGAGATAAGATTATTAAAAAAATTAACCAATAAATAAGAAATTATTACTTATACCATCCAAAGTAATCACAGTTAATCCTATTAATATTTTCTGCTGGTCAAAAGTTATTGGTTAACTTTTTTGAAGAGGCAGCATAGATGTACTATTTTCATGTAGCTACTAGATAGCAGAGCAAAAAGTAAACCAGATTGACAAGGAAATACCCACATAGGACTGAAAGCCATGATGTTCTTAAAACTTTTTTTTAAAAAAAATAGTTTCCTTTTTTTGTTGTTGTTGTTTTTCTTTTGATCAGAAACTCCCTACTCTAGTCAATGAAGACTCATACTTAATGATATTTACGTATGCATCCATTATTTACAGATTAATTTGTCTCCATTTTGTATATGCTTTTGTTGCATGTCTTGTCGCACATTAATATTTATACCACATGTTTTTGCCTAATACTGATATTGAAACCCAACTGTGTCAAAGATTAGATGATTAGATTTTTTTTTTTAGAGAGAGAGAGAATTTTAATATTTATTTTTTAGTTTTCGGAGGACACAACATCTTTATTTGTACCTGGTGCTGAGGATCCAACCCGGGCGGCACACATGCCAGGCGAGCGCTCTACTGCTTGAGCCACATCCCCAGCCCCAGATGAATAGATTTTTATGTAAGTTGTATGTGGTTGATTAGTTTCATTTCTGCTTTTTGTCTTGTTTTGTTTTTGTTTGTGAGTAGGGTATCATTATGTTTCCCAGGCTGGTCTCACACTCCTGGGCTCAAGTGATCCTCTTGCCTCATTCTGCAAGATAACTGGGACTATAAGTGTGCCACATAGTCCATGTTAATCTATGGATTAATATGCTCCATGTTAAACTTAAATATACATAGATAAACTTTATATTTTATTTCTCTATTAATTCCCAAAAATACATGTATTAGTACCACATTCATGCTTAGGCATTTAAAGAAAAAAAAACATTGAATTAAAATATTAGATTTGTAAAATGAGATATGGTATGTGATTGAGTTATTTTCTTTACACATATGGCCCAACCTAGCCTTACCATAACTACTATTTATAAGCCTGAAATAATTGGATATTGTTAAGTATTTGTAAATAATGATCTTTCCTCATGATCTTTTCTCTGTATAATGTATTCCTCAAGCTGCTATGTTACTTGTCTTTATAGATTTAACTCAGGGCAAAAGATTTAAATAATTAGAACACATCATTTGCTTTTGTTATATAATTAACTATTATTGGAATTTTATTCAGTTTTCTAGGTCACCAAAATCGTAGTTTTGCTGGGCTTTCAACTGTGGTTGAAACTGATCATTTCTGCCATGATCTATCCAAAGTTACTACTGATTAGGTAATTTTTAAAATCTCTAATGAATACAAAGCAACCATTTTTTCTTAAATAAGTAATTTTTGAGACAAAAGATGTGAAATTGCATAATAAAATAATCATTTTTATATTGTAATGTTGGGTGCTAACTTTAGATAATGTCTAAACTAGCTCCTGGTTAACATGTTTCAATCTTACTTTTTAAAACTGGGTTATACCTGTACTTTAATTTATACTCTTTTTTAATTGTTAATGTCATTTTCTATAATGATTTTTCTTTAGGAAAAGCTTAAGATAATGACTTCTAAGAGCATAAATAGTCTTGTGTAGTTGAAAATACGAGCACTAGTGTCAAACTATCTTGATCACAACTCTACTACTCATTGTATAACCATAAGCAGATTATTATAGCCTTCTTGTGCCTCATCTTTCTCATTAGTAAGATGGGAAAACTGATATTTTTTATCTTGTATGGGTAGGGCAAGAAATTGAGTTAATTCATGTGGCATGCTTAAAATAGTTCTTAGAATACAGAAAGCACTCAATGTTACCTATCATTAGCATGATGAAATATTGTATTTACTAAATTTCTTATTTCTGTTACCCAAGCCTATTATCTTTAAGGATATTCCAAGCTTCCATACTCAAAACTTGACTAACATTGATTTTCTATAATATTCCAAGTGTTTTTCATACTGATTACTTCATTTGACTATTTCAACAATTTATGAATTAATACTACTATTTCCATTTCACAGATAGGTAAATAGATTCAGTAATTAATGTTAAGAGACAGACTTCAAGTCCATACAAGAAACTGGTGAGCTGGAATCCAAACCCAATTTTCTTAATTCCAAGATTTGTTCTTTCACCACGCTGCAGCTGCTTTCTTCATATGGTATGCTTTCTTCCAATGCCTGTTTCTTTTCAAAATACATCTCATTCCAGGTTCCCTTACATCCAAGAAGTACTCATTGAAGGATATTTAAAGGACACAGGAAGCATAGGCACTTCCTTCCTGGATTGTAAAATCCGGTTGGTATACTAAGTCATAGAAATAAAAATAGTTCTGCAGCCATATAAAGAAGTGTGACTAAGAACCCAAAGGATGCAGCTAATAAGCCCCATGAGGAGCACTCATGCACGTAATGAATGACACAGTCACATAATTCCTTCCCTCATTTCTTTCAGGTCTGTGTGTCATCTCTAGAGGGTCATGTCTTCCTTGACCACCCTGTCTAAATTAGCATCCCCTTACTCTGCTTCATTTTTCTTTAATCCATTTCATAACTCTCACTCTAAACTTGATATTATAGTAAACATTATTTAACTGTTGATTGCATCTACTACTAAAATAGTAGCTCCTTGATGATTTCTAGGTAGATTGGTAACAAATATTTGAGGAAAACAAAAAGTAATTTTTCCCCCAAAAGTCTAGCTTCACCACCAATAAAATGACCAATAGGAAAATTACTATGGTATATACTAGGTGCTATGTTAAGTATGGACTTACAGTGCCTTGTTTATCTTAAACAACATTCTGTAGTAGATATATCTGAGTTTTCAGATAAGGAAGAGTTCTAAACCAATCTATAATATTGACTAGATTGTAATTCGACCACTAATAAAAAAGATCATTCTCTGAAATAATGCAAAGGAAATAATCTGCAGAGAGTATGTGAAAATTCATGTTAAATGCTATGTTGGACCAAAATGAACTTAATTTACCTTTGTAAGATTAAAATCTGGAAAAAAATTAAAACGTATGAAATAAAACCAATAACCTTTGGAAACACCTGTCAAAGGACAAAAATTACAACAATTTAGTTTAAAGGACTTAATTGGCCATATTTTCAATTCTAGAATCAGGCAATACTTGAATTTACGAAGTAGAACAAGGAGATTGGTTTCATAGAGAAGAACTAAAGAAAGCAGAAACAAAAAAAGTGATCAGTCATTTCAAAGTTGCTTTCCTGGGCTGCTTAATGTAGCTTAGTTGGTAGAATTCTTGTCTTGCAAGCACTAAGGCCCTGGGTCACAATATCACAAATACAGAGTTGCTTTCATTCTGAGACAGGAAAATAACTAGTTGGTATCAGTATATTTTAGGATTCTTTTAGTATAAGAATGAAGGTAGAGGGAATTTAATTATCATATCAATTAAAACTGGTCTTTTGGAAAATTTGGGTGTTATCTCTTTAATCTTTATTTCTCCAAAGGTCAAATAAACTGCTTAATTTTTTCTTGGTAGTGTGGAACTTTAGCATGAGTGACTCCATTTTGATTTTAGTTGTTGGGGCTCAGTGTAGGAGCCTTATCCAAATCAATAACCTCTGTAATTTTTATTTAAACACCCAAAATTTAATCAGAGATTTGAGTGAAACTCCAGAGAGGCCCATATGGATTTTCACTGTTACATACATGAGTAAGTGTCTGCACCACACTTGTCTAAAGAAAGAAATGTGTTAATAGTTGGAGTCAGAGACCAGAGAAGTACCACATGTTTATTATTACAGCTACCTGGGAGGCTCAGGCAGGAGGATCACAAGTTCAAGGCTAATTCCTGGCAACTTATGGAAACTGTCTCAAAATAAAAAGGGGTGGAGATGTAGTTCAGTGATAGTGTGCCTCTCGGTTCAATCCCCAGACCAATACTATTACTATTAGTACTACTAATACTAATACTAATATACTTGCATTTGAATTGACCTGGAAAAGTTATTGATTAAATTGTTATATATGAATAAATGGGAAAATATATAATAATATAATGTCATAAAACTTTGAGTACATATATTAAGCTGAATTTGCAAATCAAAGTGAAAGATTTTAAGTTGCAATGTGATATATCTGGCAACTTAAACTGTAATTTCCATATTATTTTTCTAAACTATTATATGAAGAATTCATATGTTTGGGGCTGGGGATGTGGCTCAGGCGGTAGCGCGCTCGCCTGGCATGCGTGCGGCCCGGGTT